TAGCTCCCCCCATCGTTGAATGATAGCTCCCCCCATGGTTGAATGATAGCTCCCCCCATAGTTGAATGATAGCTCCCCCATAGTTGAATGATAGCTCCCCCCCTAGTTAATGATAGCTCCCCCCATAGTTTGAAAAGATAGCTCCCCCCATAGTTGAATGATAGCTCCCCCCATAGTTGATGATAGCTCCGCCCCATAGTTGAATGATGGCTCCCCCCATAGTTGAATGATAGCTCCCGCCCCATAGTTGAAGGATAGCTCCCGTCCCATACTTTAATGAAGCTCCGCCATAGTTTTAATGATAGCTCCCCCCCATAGTTGAATGATAGCTCCCGCCCATAGTTGAATGATAGCTCCCTCATAGTTGAATGATAGCTCCCCATAGTTGAATGATAGCTCCCCATAGTTGAATGAAGCTTCCCCCAATCGTTTAATGATAGCTCCCCCCATAGTTTTAATGATAGCTCCCTCCATAGTTGAATGATAGCCCCCATAGTTGAATGATAGCTCCCCCCATAGTTGGAATGATAGCTCCCGCCCATAGTTGAATGATAGCTCCCCTCATAGTTGAATGATAGCTCCCCCATAGTTGAATGATAGCTCCCCCATAGTTGAATGATAGCTCCCCCCATAGTTGAATGATAGCTCCCCCCATAGTGGGTGATAGCTCCCCCATAGTTGATGATTTGCTCCCCCATATTTTTATGATAGCTTTCCCCCCTAGGTTGAATGATAGCTCCCCCCATAGTTGAATGATAGCTCCCGCCCCATAGTTTAAAGATAGCTCCCCCCATAGTTGAATGATAGCTCCCCCCATAGTTGAATGATAGCTCCCCCCCGAGTTTAATGATAGCTCCCCCATAGTGAATGATAGCTCCCCCATAGTTGAATGATAGCTCCCCCCATAGTTGAATGATTGCTTCCGTCCCATAGTTGATGATAGCTCCCCCATGTTGAATGATAGCTCCCCCATATTGAATGATAGGGTCCCCATAGTTGAATGATTTGCTCCCCCTAGTTGAATGATAGTCCCCCATGTTGAATGATAGTCCCCCCCTAGTTGAATGATAGCTCCCCCCATATTGAATGATAGCTCCCCCATAGTTGAATGAATGATAGCTCTCCCATAGTTGAATGATAGCTCCCCCATAGTTGAATGATAGCTCCCCCATAGTTGAATGATAGCTCCCCCCATAGTTGAATGATAGCTCCCCCATAGTTGAATGATAGCTCCCCCCATAGTTGAATGATAGCTCCCCCCATAGTTGAATGATAGCTCCCCCATAGTTGAATGATAGCTCCCCCATAGTTGAATGATAGCTCCCCCATAGTTGAATGATAGCTCCCCCTAGTTGAATGATAGCTCCCCATAGTTGAATGATAGCTCCCCCATTTGTTGAATGATAGCTCCCCCATAGTTAAATGATAGCTCTCCCATAGTTTAATGATAGCTCCCCCATAGTTGAATGATAGCTCCCCCATAGTTGAATGATAGCTCCCCATAGTTGAATGATAGCTCCCCCATAGTTGAATGATAGCTCCCCATAGTTTTTAATGATTGCTCCCCCATAGTTGAATGATAGTCCCCCCATAGTTGAAAGATAGCTCCCCCCATAGTTGAATGATAGCCCCCATAGTTGAATGAATGATAGCTCTCCCATAGTTGGAATGATAGCTCCCCATAGTTGAATGATAGCTCCCCATAGTTGAATGATAGCTCCCATAGTTGATTGTTGCTCCCCCATAGTGAATGATAGCTCCCCATAGTTGAATGATAGCTCCCCCATTTGTTGAATGATAGCTCCCCCTTTTGTTGAATGATAGCTCCCCCCTAGTTTGAATGATAGCTCCCCCATAGTTGAATGAGCTCCCCCATAGTTGAATGATAGCTCCCCCCATAGTTTAATTGATAGCTCCCCCATAGTTGAATGATAGCTCCCCCCTAGTTGAATGATAGTCCCCCCATAGTTGAATGATAGCTCCCCCCATAGTGAATGATAGCTCCCCCATAGTTGAAATGATAGCTCCCCATAGTTGAATGATAGCTCCCCCCATAGTTTAATGATAGCTCCCCCATTTGTTGAATGATAGCTCCCCATAGTTGAATGATAGCTCCCCCCTAGTTGAATGATAGCTCCCCATAGTTGAATGATAGCTCCCCCCATAGTTGAAGATAGCTCCCCCCATAGTTGAATGATTTGTCCCCCATAGTTGAATTTATAGCTCCCCCCAATTTGTTGAATGAAACTCCCGTCCCATAGTTGAATGATAGCTCCCCCCATGTTGAATGATAGCTCCCCCCTAGTTGAATGATAGCTCCCCCATAGTTGAATGGATAGCTCCCCCCCTAGTTGAATGATAGCTCCCCCATAGTTGAATGATAGCTCCCGTCCCATAGTTGAATGATAGCTCCCCCCATAGTTGAATGATAGCTCCCCCCCATAGTTGAATGATAGCTCCCATTGTTGATGATAGGGTCCCCCATAGTTGAAATGATAGCTCCCCCAGTTGAATGATAGCTCCCCTAGTTGAATGATAGTCCCCATAGTTGAAATTTATGCTCCCCCATAGTTGAATGATAGCTCCCCCCATAGTTGAATGATAGCTCCCCCATAGTTGAATGATAGCTCCCCCATGTTGAATGATAGCCCCCCCATAGTTGAAAGATAGCTCCCCCCATAGTTGAATGATAGCTCCCCATGTTGAATGATAGCTCCCCCATAGTTGAATGATAGCTCCCCCCATAGTTGTTTTCTATCTTGTATTGCTTGTTGACGATACATGATTATATACACCTGGAAAATCCTAGAGGGACTAGTACCGAACTTGCACACGAAAATCACTCACTACGAAAGCAAAATACTTGGCAGACGATGCAACATCCCCCCAATTAAAAGCAGGGGTGTCACTAGCACGTTAAGAGACCATACTATAAGTGTCAGGGGCCCGAGACTGTTCAACTGCCTCCCAGCACACATAAGGGGGATTACCAACAGACCCCTGGCAGTCTTCAAGCTGGCATTGGACAAGCACCTAAAGTCAGTTCCTGACCAGCCGAGCTGTGGCTCGTACGTTGGTTTGCGTGCAGCCAGCAGTAACAGCCTGGTTGATCAGGCTCTGATCCACCAGGAGGCCTGGTCACAGACCGGGCCGCGGGGGCGTTGACCCCCGGAACTCTCTCCAGGTAAACTCCAGATATACGTCTCACAACAGGTAGTTGCCATCAGTCAGGTCAAGTAAACACAACCTGTTGCATTACGATCTATAACATAAATCTGATATTATTATATCTTAATATTAATATGATAATATACAATGTAAATAACTGATAAAATCAGGTTATTAGACTTGAATCGTATATATTTTTAACTATATATATGGCAAAGTATATATTAGTTACACGTCACATTTGACAAGAGGCTGGGTATACCAGTGTGGTATATCTGTGTATAACTACCTCCTTACAACATCATAAAGGAATGTTGGTTCACCTTGAAATTAGACACTAGACAACACTGCGTGACACTAGACTAATATATCGCATTTCACCGACATATAAGACGTACGAGAATGTTAGACATACGTCTTAAGACGATGTTTACAAACAGTGATAACGTTAGTAAACAACTGTTGGAGCCTAATACAAAGCCATTATAATATACACTTGGAAAATCTTAGAGAGTCTAGTCTCAAACCTACTCACGGAAATCACCTCCTGTGAGAGCAAAAACTTGGCAGGTGGTGCAGCATCCACGCAATGAAAACCAGGAGCCCCGTAAGTAGGTTGAGACAACAGTGTCAGGGGTCCAATACTGTTAAGAAATGAGGCTTTAGTTTTTATTATTATAGAAATTTGTGGATTTGCGGCTTTTATTTATAATCACATTCATTTATTGAATGTTTATTGAGGTTAGAGTTTATGCTGATACAGCTGCAGGTGACACTGACCTGGAATATTTATATAAGTCGCAAACGGATTTTATAAGATTTTTGTGGGAAAAAATTGCGCCTTATATGCCGGAAAATACAGTAAATAGGCACATGAAAGGCATTGATAGAATAAAGAACCCGACATTCGTGACGTTGGAGAAAAATTCAGGTGAGACATGATCATGACGTACAGAATACTTTCGAATAAAAAGATAGATGAAGGCAAGTTTGTGTGGAACTCGAACGATGGGAACATGCAGTGTCTATTAAAGTCGGTGTGATCACACCAGCGTCCAGGAACTAGAACACAACCCTCCCCAAGTTCGGGTGTGGCAGGTGTGATCACACTAGGGTCCAGGAGCTAGGACACAACCACACACAAGGTCGGGTGTGGCAGGTGTGATCACACTAGGGTCCAGGAGCTAGGACACAACCACACACAAGGTCGGGTGTGGCAGGTGTGATCACACTAGGGTCCAGGATTGCATCATCGCAGCGCCTCGTGGTGCAGAGTCTGCGTGCTGGGTCACCAACACGCTGCCTCTCAACTTGATCAATAGCTCTGCTCAACGCCTCTTCACCAACATTAATGATTTTCAAAGTACGCAATAATAACTCCTTGAACTGGTTTATGGTTAGAATAAGACCTTTAATTGAAATAATTAATTAGGGTGCCCGTATTTCCTAGTAGAATGAAATTAACTTCCTTGGGATTATACAGTAATAGGTTATATGTTAGAATGGAATGCTTAAATAAAATCTTAGTTGACGTAGATGCCGATGAGAGGTTCTTGATCCAAATAACTGGATCTCTCTTCTTTGACCCGACCCTAATTGCCTTCTGTACCCGTGGCCCCCTTACGAGTTTAGTACTTCCCTACACCATCACTTGGTGCAGGTGGTTCTGGTGATATTCGCCAGTGTAGGTGATGGTAGTGATGAAGACACCATCCCTGAGTGTAGGTAGTGGTGGAGACGTCATGCAGCCCCACCACTTGGTGTAGGTGGTGCTTGTGGTGGTGAAAACGTCTGGCAGCCCCAGCACTTGGTGTAGGTGGTGGAGACGTCTGGCAGCCCCATCACTGGTGGGTGAGGTTGAAGGCAGCAGACTGACTCTTGTGTACACTTGGCTCTGGTTGTGAGCAGACGTCAGTAGTGGAGTCTTCCCTCTCACCCACTTCTGATATTTTCATACTAGGCTGCTAACTTCGTGATATTTTCAAGGTATATACTCTCCTAATTCTCTCTTTCCCTATTATCACGTCTTCGTCGTATAATATAACTGATATATGTGTGGAAGATGTGTTCTTTAAGGTTTACTTTATTGACAATCTCGTGATAAACGTGTTCATCTGGTGACAATCTATCAAGGTCCATTAGTCGTGAACCCTTCGACGGAGAGTCCCTTGATGCTGGTGAGAAGCCCTTGATCCAAGGAATTGAATCAACCCTCTGGATTAAACTTGATTGCTTCTCATTCCACAGGTACTATATAACCCATATGGTTGTAGCGCTTCCCGTAAGTGTATTAATTATAAACAGCCATGAAATACTCTCTTAAACCGACATTGGTTGTGACCAAAGCATTTTTAAATTTATTGTTCCTGACTATTTCCTCGACTCCAGAAATCAACTGGTGTTTATTTAATCCATTTACTAGGAAATGTTAATATTTTTACTGAAAAATTCAGTGGATATTATAAATCCTTGTCTTGGAAGAAGACATTGAACCTGCTGATATGGAAGCAGGTAATGTTAATGATTCATAGTACAAGTTGAGAGGAGGGGAAGTTGAGTGTTACTGTGGTTTAGTTGTAGCTCCTGGACCTTACCTCAACCACGTGAGGGGAGAAAATGACATTGTAAGGGGGATGAACAGTTTTGCTCCAGCGAAGGCTGCTGGCACAGGAAAATGTGAGAAAATATTCTTATCACGTTATCTTGATGCTGCTGAAAGACTTGGATGTAAAATGCGCTGGAAAATAGAGGGATGACGAAGTTGATCCCAAGTGTCAAACTTTTCTTACAAAGACAGGCTGAAGACGCTGGATTTGCACTCTGGATGTAGAATAAGAAGTGTAAAAATTGAAAGTCGGAATAATGAAGGAATATACATAAATAATGTGCTGAAAGTCTGTAAAGACATGACTCATAGTTAAAGATTCAAGTTGGACAATTTAGATTTAGAAGGATATAGGGAAGTACTGGTTTAGCAATAGTGTTATAGGTAAGTGGAACGAACTCCAAGGTAGCGTTTGAGACCAGAACTTTGGGTAGTAGCTTTTAACTGAGTGAGTGTATGTTGGACCTGACTTGCATGGACTAACAGGAATACCGCAGTGTTCCTTCATTTTGGAATAATATAGAGTTTTTATATTTGACACCACTTTACTGTGTTCATTCATTATCCTTCATAATGCGAGAAATCACAAAACCTCTTGGACTTTCACTATTTTTTTCACTGGTTATTGTGCGTATTATGACATCACCTGCTTACTGTGATCTTAATCTATCTTAACTAATACATATATCGAATTTGTGTGCATGCCATGAGAAAGGTTAATAAATAAGTGAGTAGAAGCGCACAGATAGGAGCTAGCTTCAAGCAAAAACTTAATACGCCACAACTGCCCTGGCAAGTCCGCAGTGTTGAACATGTTAATTAGGGAAGTTTGTGGCAACACAGTACGTGTACACCAAGAGATATATGCATTGAGACTTCTGATTAATTTCTATTTTAGGGATTCATGAAATGCGAACAGGTAACATGCAACCTTAATGACCCTTGTATAGTCGATAGGTTTTAATTTAAGGCACATTAACCAGCCATGTGGAGACTACATATATATTCTTCAGGGTATATTTTCTTGGTGTGTGTACTGAGAGCATCAGTGTATATGTGAAAGGGTATGCGTCTTACTATATCTACACTTAGTGTACTTCAGTCCATTTTGATTTTAGAGTATCTCTGGTGATGGTTTACAGGTATATACAATCTTGCGTTATTCGCTGAGTTTAAACCCAATAAGCCAGCCTGTGGCGAGAGTATCGTGTGACCCGGATAGTTAAATTGGTAGGTTAAGAGTGTATGGATAACACGTGGTACCAGACTACAAAAAAGTGGGTGCAAGAAAACGGTATATAGAGCAGTAGAAGCAGCAGCATCAGTGACGTTGTGGCTAGTGTGTGAATGTGGGTGAGGGGATGACCTTGAGATTACCTCCTGGCTCAAGCCCGTAGTAAGAAATACTATTTTCATTGGTAGATTGTGCGAATTTTAGCACTCTCGCCATGATTGTGACCAGATCTACCTGGAGTTCATTACCGTTGTAAGTAGTTCAGCTGTCATAACTTTGGGGTACAGTCCCTGGACCTATTATGTACCTCTGTAATCTTTTGACTACCGCCCACAGGATGGGTCTGGGGTGCATAATAAAGATATTAAACTCACTCTCTCTCTCTCTCTCTCTCTCTCTCTCTCTCTCTCTCTCTCTCTCTCTCTCTCTCTCTCTCTCTCTCTCTCTCTCTCTCTCTCTCTCTCTCTCTCTCTCACACCACACACACACACACACACACACACACACACACACACACACACACACACACACACAAACACACACAAAAAAAAAAAACCGGAAAGTTTGCTGTTGCAACGGATGGTGCACCAAATGAGATTAGGGTAAGGGATTTTACATAAAAATTATGTGCTGCATCCAATGATCTCTCACCGGCACTGTCATCTTACTGTTTCACCCGTTACCCCGTCACTTATATATACATTATATATATATATATATATATATATATATATATATATATATATATATATATATATATATATATATATATAGTTATCATTTTGTCCTAGGCACATGTCGATTAGACACTAGGCCGGTTGTATATGCGTGCATGTTAGTGTGTGTGTGTGTGTGTGTGTGTGTGTACTCACCTAATTGTGGTTGCAGGGGTCGATTCACAGCTCCTGGTTCCGCCTCTTCACTGGCCGCTACTCGGTCACTCTTCCTGCTCCATGAGCTTTATCATACCTCTTCTTAAAGCTATGTATGGATCCTGCCTCCACTATATCACTTCCCAAACTATTCCACTTCCTGATAACTCTATGGCTGAAGAAATACTTCCTAACATCCCTGTGATTCACCCGAGTCTTCAACTTCCAACTGTGACCCCTTGTTGCTGTGTCCCATCTCTGGAACATCCTGTCTCTGTCCACCGTGTCGATTCCTCTCAGTATTTTATGTCATATGTCCCCCGTATCTCTCCTGTTATCGTAGGGGTTCTTAAATGGAGATATCGAGGGTTGAAGGTAGACACACTTGTTGGATGGTAACATATATTGTCAGACTGTGATGATGAACGTGGAGCCCAGCCTCTGCCTGTCTTAGCCTGGATATCTACGCCGACTGAGACCGGGGCAGAGGTACGAACGTACACATGTGCATCCTGTGACGTCACACAACAGTCACAGGCCTAAAAGGGATCTCCTATCTAAAGCACATGGATGATACTATATGCTATGCTATATAACACAGGGATCAGCAACTATGCTGACAGCTCGGTCATGTTACGTATGTCGTCTCGACATACACTACTATCTATAGGCTGAACAGGCAGGTGGTTCTGGGCTGATTCTATACAATAACAAATTCATATATAACTTAGAACTAATGGATGGTATCATAATGGATGTTAATAAAATGAGTTTTATGTAATGGATGTTGACGTAATCACTTTTAACGTAATGAGTTTTAACGTAATGCATTACAAACTATAAGATCAAATCATTGTACAATATGGATGGAATTGATCGATCGATCTGTATTCATGCACTCTACGGATTCTGAGGAAGAATAAATATATATATATACAAGGTGAAATTAACAGCAAAGGCATCTGGTGCGCACTCAGATCATTACTGTCAAATTCTCAGAATACGGAGGGAACGTGAATACAAAAAAAAAAAAAATTCTGAAAAACTAATCAGTTAATAACAGACAGTTGACAATTTACTTCATCTCGGACATCTAGTTATACAGACTATGTACATTTAAACCCAATTCTGCGAGGGTGAGGTTTACATATGCAGAATGGTTATCATCTCTGGGAGGATCGAATTCTTCTGCAATGGCTAACACATGCCTTGACTGAGGGAGATCTAAACGAGTATCTACAAAAGATACTTGTGGGTTTCTCATTACTTGTTGAGTACGCAAGGAGTAACGACATTCAGGTTGGTTATCTGACTGAGTATTTGAGGTAGAGGGTACAGAGTCAAGAGGATTTTCAGCATCTGTCACATTAGTCTGGGTAGCAATATCATCAACATCGAATACTAATTTCATATGATCTAAATGCGATTCTTTGTACTTGCCAGTACTAATTTCTCTAACCTTATACTTATTACCAGAGATATGTTCTACAACTCGATAAGGTCCGACAAACTTTTGATCGAGCTTAGGCATTTCAGATGTTTTGTTGAAATTTGTCAGCATTACTCTTGAACCTACTTTTTTACTTTTGATGGCTTAGCACGGCTATTAGTTACTCTAGTAAATTCTGCTGTTGATTTATGAAGTGTTTCACGGATTCTTCTAAAAACACTTTGAGCCATGCTGGTACGAGTTGCTACGAAATCATCAGGGTTGTAATCAGGTTTCGGAGTGGAATATAACAACTCATAGGGTAAACGCTTGTCTACACCATACAATGCATAATGTGGAGTATCACCTATGGAAGCATTGTAAGCAGAATTTATGGCACATTGGACATCTGGTATGACTTCATCCCAAGTTTCACTATTGGGGTTGATAGTGGCTCTCAGGACATCAAGTACTTTCTTATTGGTTCTTTCGGCTAACCCATTGCTGGCAGGATGATGAGGAACAATGGTGGATTTAGAGTCCTTGTATAAAGTACACAAATTTTCAAGAATCTCATTACAGAATTCACCTCCATTGTCTGTTACTAAGGACTTAGGGGTGGTATGCCTGCAGATAATGTGTTCTTTAAACACTTTAGCTACTGTCTTTGCAGTCTTATCTGCAATAGGAACTAACTCACAATATCTGGTGAAATGGTCTACCATAACACACAGATGTTTGTTGCCTTGGAGGGAACATTTAAAATTGGTTAACAAGTCAAGGGCAACTCTTTCCCACGGTTCGCTAGTGGTTGGGTACACTTGGATAGGATTAGGCCCATTGACA